TCTCTTAGCAGCTTCTGTGGGAGGTGGAGGTGGCAGCAGAGAGAGCTCCTCTTGGCTTCTGTGCCAAACTGTGCATTAATTACACTGGTGGTCATATATGATCCTGCTTCCTCATTGTTTTACTGTTCTAATGTCATAGTTTTAATTATAGATGGGACTTGTTTCCTTTGTTTTCTTCTCAATTTAAAACAAATGAGGTGTTCAACCTGAATCCAGATAACTGTTACACTGGTGTAATGGTGTGGGAGAAGGTACAGTGTGAAAGCAAGAATGTAATTTTATAGAAGCATCTCACACTGCTGAAGTTTTATTCCCTCTCCCACACCAGTAGTGCACTTAGAGAGGACACTTTGTTCCAGCATCACTACAGGGAGGAGATGGTTTTTAAACATGGTGTGCTGCCATTTGTGCCCTGAAGGCCTTTGAGGTGAACAGCAGTTTGGAAACAAAGCACTTTTCAGAAGGCTCCTGTGACCATCTTTTGTGGTAGTTGAAGTCTTGTAACTCTGACTGCCTTCTTCCTACTCAGCACTTCACCAATCAGAGGGATGAGTTTGAGGGGACGAGGGAAAGCATCCTTGTTTGGCTCACAGAAATGGACCTCCAGCTGACAAACGTGGAGCACTTCTCAAAAAGTAACTTCGATGACAAAATGCGCCAGTTGAATGTACGTATCCTTCTAAAGCAGGGGGTTAGTGTAGTCCAGCTGACCCTGTTGGGCTGCCCTCTCTGGACAGAATCATCTGCTTTTCCAGAATTTCACAATAGCAAACAGATCTCTGTAGGGCTATATTTGTTTTAAGACACCAGTAAACAGTGAAGACTGATCCTCTGAATTGAGATTAAGCTGTACAGTTCAATTCAGATTAATTCAGTTCAGATTCAGTGTTCAAGCTCAATTCTGTCCTGCCATTTTCTTCTAAATTCCTATGGTTTTTTTTCTGTTGAGAATTTTTTTTAATTGAGAATAAGGTGTGATCTCTTTGTCTGAATGCATTGTTTGTGGCCAGGACTTTCAAACAGAAGTAAGAGAGCAGGCAGGTGCAGTGATTCTAAAGAACCTACCAGGGCTTTGCTACCTGTTTATGTGCTCATTTCTCCTTTCTCCCTGCACTATTAATTGTTTTGAGACATAGGTTTCCTGTTGTGTAGGCCGAAGGCCCAACCAGCCAAACAAACTTCTTTGCTACCCAGAAAAAGGTTGTGTGTACCAAGCAGAAAAATAAACTCTTGATTAGCTGAACTCTGATAGCATGATCCCTTGCAGCCTCAGGACGCTGCAGTCATACTAATGTACACATAGGTGCAAAATGCCACTTCATTGGGAACTGTTATCCTGCTAATAAAACAAATTGGACTTCTTGAGTAAAAAAATGCTTGCCAAATGAAATTGAATGTCAGTTGTTGGTTTTCCTTCACCTCAGTAAGCGGGAAAAGAAAAGCATTGCAGAAGTAATTCTTTTTCCTCTATGTTCCAAATAGGGTTTCCAGCAGGAAATAACACTAAACACCAATAAGATCGATCAGCTCATCGTTTTTGGGGAGCAGTTGATTCAGAAGAGTGAGCCTTTGGATGCTACCCTGATTGAAGATGAGTTGGAAGACCTTCATCGATACTGTCAGGAAGTCTTTGGGCGAGTTGCTCGGTTCCATCAAAGACTGACTTCAAGGCATCCTGTAAGAAGCAACAGTTGTTACAATGCTTTGGCAAGACAGATTTTGGTGTTTGAACTGCAATACTCATTGCTTATCCCTAGCAGCTTGACTGAGTGGTATGAGCTCAAAGGGGTCAGGAGCTCCTCAGCAGTTCTGCCAGCTTTGCTAAATCTTTGTCACCAGTCTTGTCTCCTCACACCTGTCCTGTTAGGACTCCATCTGCAGAATCTGGATAATAGCACAGAAGTAGTTCACAGGCTTTATAATAGAATAGTAGTGTTTGGGGGCTTCAAAAGCCTTTTTGATGTTTTTAATATCACTTTTTTAATTTCGATAACATGGTCAGAATATCTCTCTATGGTTTTGTTTGTGAGATTCCATCTGTCCACTTTCTTGTGAGAAGCCTGAATGGTTAACAGCATGCTCTTTACTTTCCACTGAGAACATTTTGATGATTCTCAGTTTGCTTTGGCTTAGAAAGAAAGAACATCTATTAGAAAGCCAGGTAGAGGAAGTAACGTGTACCTCTACAAGTGGCTCTTCACCCATGCCTGAGCATCATTTCATTGCTGACCTGAGCAGTACATTTGGAACTGGGTACTGCTCCCTGCACACTGGAGAGAGATGCTACAGTGGTGACTGAGTGTCTTGAAAGAGGGGAGATAGCTGCTGATGCGAGGATTCTTTTGGCAAAAGAGGAAGGAGGCAAAAATGATGCTTCCTTTTAATTTTAGGCATGTGGTCTTGGATTACTGCAGCTGACTGCAAAACAGTCTCTAGCAGTGCTCCTTAAGCAATATACCTCTATTGTACGTTTATTAATATACAAGAATTTTCATTTATTTTTAGGGATTGGATGATGAAAAAGAGACTTCTGAAAATGAGACAGACCCAGAAGACTCCAGAGAAATCCAGAATGATCCCTGGCATAAAAAGGCCATCAGCGAGGGGCCCTCTTCGACACAGTCCCTTTGCCACCTTGTGCCTCCTCCTCAAGGTCATGAAAGATCAGGCTGTGAAACCCCTGTCAGTGTTGACTCCATCCCACTCGAGTGGGATCATACAGGTGATGTGGGAGGTTCTTCCTCTCACGAAGATGAAGAAGAAGCAACATACTACAGTGCTCTCTCAGGTGAGAACCAGCTGCCAGCTGTCTGTTCTGACATGGACAATTCCCTGTGTGGGAAGGGAGGGATGCTGAGGTCTTGCTCCCCCGTGACTGGCTGGTTTTCAAGTACTATCAAGGGACAGGAGCATTCTCATCTTTTAAGGAGTGATATTGTCTAAACCAAGCTTATCTTTTCAGAAACATCAAGTTTTTAGAAACCTTACTTTTAAGAGTGATTGGTGTAGATGATTGGTGAAGTACCAACAACAACTTTTGTTAAATTTGTCTTTGCTCTCCCTCATTGTTTCAGTTGTTCTTCATAGCTGGAAGATATGGAATAGTGAGGAAAATGACATTGTTCTTTTTTCAGATGTAGAAATCACTGAAAATCCTGAGGCATATCTTAAAATGACCACAAAAACTTTGAAAGCATCTTCTGGTAGGCACCTGCTAATGCATGTGTCTGAACATGGCAATCTCCCTGCGCTGCACGCTATATTCCTCAACCTCTCTCATATGTAATGTCTGACCTCCTGCCCTGTGTGGACACCATGTCTCACCCTGCCATGGTGTTCTTACGCTGCAGGATTCACGTGTACATTACACAGCAGTTAAGAACCTTCCATTTAGATTTTGCCTGGTAAATGTCGAGGTGGTTAATATGCGTTTCATTGTATTGATCCAGAGTCTTTTGGTACTTTCTTGGTGGTTTGCTCTGGGTGGTATCGCTTTTTTGGTTGTTTCTAATTCTGATGCCATAATTACTGAAGGCAGTAGTTCCAATTCTGCAAGTATTTTTTGTGTTTTCTGCATGATGGAACCGTTGGTGTCCTGTCTGCTAAATCCAGAACAAACGTTCTCCAAATCAGGACATGTCTCCACTTGTCCCTACTGAAATGCATTGCAGGTGTGTGACAGTATGGTTGGGATGCAAACTTTGCAAAACCACAGTGCAGCCTTTTTCTTTTATTTCTTGGGTACTCATACCTGTGTTCAGGCATTTTCCAGAAGAAAACAATGTCCCATAACTGCATGGCTCTCATCTCATTACCTTTGAAACACTGATGATGTTTTGCAAACGTGCATGCTTTGCAAGGAAAGCTGCAAAACTGTCATTTTTATGCCGTAGCTTGACGCCATTTTATTCAGAGTGCTTTCTAACAATACAAAGCAACAGCTTCCTTGTGGAGATGGGATTTTGCACTCCTGGCATATGGTTTTGGTGTTGCTTGTTTCAGGAAAGTCTGTTTCAGAAGCTCATCCTTGGCGTTCTCCAGATAGCCCAGTCTGCAGGAAGCACCGATACAACCAGGCAGCTGGCCCAGAGACGAGTACTCCCTACAAGCCAGGCTATGTGAGTTGAAGGCTCTGTGGGCACTGAACCCATACAACTGCACAGTCTCTTTGTTGTTCCTGTGTAACTCCATCCTCTGCCCTCCTCCAGCATCAAGGAACAGATCAGTTGCGAGGGGGATGTTCACTTTATGCAAACTTTGACATTATTTCTGGTGACTTGGGAAACCAGTGAGAGTCTCTGTCCACTTGCTAGAAAAGCCTCTTTAAAGCAATTCAGAACAATCATTTCAGGCTCCTGATCAGAGTTGGTGTCTGGTGGAACTTGCTGCTCTGATGTCATAGGACAAGTCTAAGAGAATTTAAACCCCCTCCAAGGAGAGGATATGAATCCCCTCCCTTGGTACTTACTGACATACCTCTCTTTCCTAAGTAGACCGATTCGAAGAGTCCTTTTCTAGCATGCAAGCCACCATTTAATCTGCTTCTCAGCACTAAAAAATGTGCCAAACTGGCTGTTGTTCGTTGGTGGCTGGTTGCCAGCCCTGGCTTTCCCAGCAGCTGCCGGGCTCAGTGGATCTGGGTCATTTGTCAGCATTGTTTCAAGCACAAAATGGTACTGATATCTGGCTGCTTTTGTCATCATTATTCTAGTCTTAGAGTCAATATTGCCAAGGCCCAGAATCCACCAAAGAGCTTTGACAGATGTGCATTGTCTGGTGCATGTAGTGGTGTAGTGCCAAAGCAATTAGTTTGTCATGTCCAGTCTTGTAATGATTAGCATTGCTGTGGTGTGTTTGTTTAGGCACAGAGAGCCAGTATAAACCTTTAGCAAAGATGCAGAGGCCCAGTACTAAATCTGACATGCAAGAGCTCAGCAGCAGCCCAGCCCCCCCAAAGTAACATAAATGAAGTTTGACCTTTGACAGCTTGTTAACCTGCAGGGCTCACCCACCAAAATGTCATTCCAGGTGAAGCAGCTCAGCTCTGCAAGCAGCAGCAGCATGACCAAGGAGAAAATGACAGCTGCTAACATGAGTGATGAAGAACCCCAAGATGACCAGGAGCTTGTGAATATAGCTGCTGCAGAGCAGCAGTCAGGTACAGAGCATTAGGGATGGCTTGGGTGCTCTGGTGTTTGTCCTGTAGCTCTGGGGAGACCAAGCAGAGATGGCACAAAGGCAGCACACTGGCCTTGGGAACAAAATCAAACTAAACCACTACACTCTAAATGAATGCATTTTGCTAAGATTTGCTGAGCTGCCTTCTCACTTGGTACTGTCCAACCCATGTTTGCTCGTCTGACCTTTACATTTTCTGCCAGAATGGAGATTTTTTTCATCACTAGTACACTTCTGTTTCTTTGCTGGGTGGAATGAATCAGAACAATTACACTTTTAATACTTCAGAGGCTTTTCATCCAAGGTTTCAAACCAAAGAAGCGTGTCTCTTTGTGTAAAATAAGATTGCTATAGTTCATGTTCTCAGTTATTGGTACTCCTTAAAACAAGATCAAAGGTGGTAATGTTTTCTGTTATTCACGCTGTCCAAATAGGCCAACAAGTTGGCTCTCTTAACCTTTTAAGACCTCATTTTTGGTTCCAGGTGTTTTGGAATTGTGATAACACATCTGTACTGCAATCACAAAAGCAAATCAAGTGATAGAAAGAAGACTGCAGCACCGTGCACCAGCTTACTTAGTTTGTCTCTGGTCTCACAAATGGACCAGGGTTGAGTCCCGAATCTGGAATGAATAGGAAAACCTCTGAGAAGGGCTTAGGTGTGCTTCCAGAAATGGTGTTAGTGATTACACAGGTGGCATCAGTCTCTCCTTTAGCACTGAGCTGATGAAACACAAACCCATGTCCTGACTGCTGGATCATATTTTGTCCCATTACAAATTTTGGCGTGTACCAAATCACAACCAGGCTCACTGAATTCTGTCTCTTCAGATCAGCTCTATTCTTCCAAGTGAACTAAAACATCTTCAATTAATGTGATTAAAATCCCATGTAGCATTACTATGTGGATAACTTGACCAGTAATATGAAACTTACAGACTGAGAATCTCAAGAAAAAAATGTCTAGAGAACAGTAGTACAGGGTAGCAGTTATTTGGCATTGAATCTATTGGAGTGTAATATACTCATAAAACTCCTTGCATCTGTTCTATGCACTCTTCACCTCACTGAAGATTTAAACATTTGTTGTTCTATCATTTGTAGGCATTATTGATAGGTGGGAGCTCATCCAAGCTCAAGATCTCAGAAATAAACTTCGGATGAAACAGAAATTGCAGCAATGGCAGCAGCTGAACTCAGATCTCAGCGGTGTCTCTGCTTGGCTTGATAAAACTGAGGAAGAGCTGGAAGAGCTGCAAAAAGTGAAACCTCCAACCAGCATGCAGGCATTGGAAGAAAGGGACAAGAAACTGAAAGTAAGTTATGGCATGCTGAGAAGTGGGATTTCAGGATGCTGGTGCTCTTTGTCCTTGTCTTTGTCTCACAGAGAGGAGCTAAGCTGTTTTCAGCTAGGAGGACTAAAGAAGGTGGTTAAGCAAGGTGCTTCTGTCTTCATAGGCAGAGATACAGAGGCAGTGTGCCTGGGTGCAACAGGCAGAAAGGCAGAAATAAAAACCTCTGCCTTTCTGTTTCTTTGCAGAGATACTGTATTCTCTCAAACAAAGCATTCAGCCCCAAGCTTCTCTATTTAGGCCTTTTGTTTTAGAAAACAAGCATGGAAGAAAAACTAAACAGTGAAGCTTACACTCTCTGATGCCTAGGGCCAGGATTTGTCTTGGGAGGCTGGGAATTCTGAGCAATGATATCAGCATTTTTTAACTTGTTCTCCATTCCCCTCTATGCAAACCAGAAACAGAT